AAACTGAAATAAAATTTAAAAATCAGTTAACTTTTTTTTTTCAGTGGCCCTAATCCTCTTCCGTAAGTACAGAATCCAGAGCTGCAGGACTTTACTATAACATCTGCATTAAAAAGTTCTTCCTTCTACTATAAAGCATAGATCTAGGTGCTATAGCTGAAGATCAGAATACCCATAGTCTTTAGTTTATCTCTTTAGTTTAGCTCTTTAGTTTATATCTTTAGTTTTTCATGATTCAATTTTGCAGTCTAGGTCGGATTAGCAGCAGCTTTGCACATTTCATTTGCAATCTGGATTCAAAGTTCAAAGGTTAACTCTGTGCTGCAGCGCAGGTTGCCACAGCAGACAGATAGAGAGAGGCCAATGGTCGTCTCGCTCAGGAGGACAGAGTACGGTGCTTTTATGTCGCCAAAGTCTCCATTAACATAGAAAAAAAATAGGTCGATTTGGTGCCAGTCTGTTTTTTTTTTTTAATAAAGGCGCTAGGAGGCCTGGAAAGGCAATAAATTGAGAGAGAAAAATCGCAAAGTTGGCAACAGCGGAGCAGAAGAAACGTGTCTTTGCTCCCCAATCCAGAGGAAGTCCCGCCCCCAGAGGTGCAGAGAATCTGATCTGTTAGATGCAGTTTGAAAAGAATTCATAAAACTCAATCTGAAAAACAGAATTTTGAAGAAATAAAATGTGAAAATATAAAATCTCTAAAACACAAAAAACTTAATTTGTTATTTTTGTAATTATAGCTTTTTTCAAAGTCTCATTTCTGGATTGCTTTCTAAAATTTTATTACATTTATTAATTATTAATTAACAAAAAACAATTTTTTTTTTTTGCTTGAAACAATAATGGACCAAAAGTCACTCCGTAGAATCTGGACTAAAGCAAGCTGTAAAGACCAGAGCCAGTTTGGCTCCTCAGTAATTAACGATGTTTTTCTGGGTGAATCTGCGCCGTTCTGCCGCTCAGACTCAAACCAATGATGGAAACACGTTTCTGTCTGTTTTTTCCTTCCAGACTTTCATAGTCCTGAACAAAGGGAAGGCCATCTTCCGCTTCAGCGCCACGTCCGCCCTCTACATGTTCAGCCCGTTCCACCCCATCCGTAAACTGGCCATCAGGATCCTGGTCCATTCATATCCTTCTGCTCTCTGTATGTTCTCTGTGTGCTGTCTGTGTTCTGCAGGGCGGGTCAAAGGTCAGGCGCCGATCTTGACTTAAAGGATCCAGGCTGAGCCGATGGCGGCGAGGCTAGCTGTTGGTTAGAGCTGAATATGGAAGATGCTCATTATGAGAGAATTAAAGCGACGCT